GGAGAGAGGTGTAGGGGACTTTTTGTTCCAGCAGCCTGACAAATGGGCTTGGCCTGCTGTAAGAGGAAGACAAACAAAATTCCTTGAGTTTTTCCTCTCTCATGCTAACCCATGTGTTTGGGCCCGAGGAATGAGCTTGAGTTTTAGTGCTCCCAAGTGGCCTAAAACTTTCATTCCTTGAACCCTCAATGGGCCCTGTGAGTGCTCGTACCTGTCCATACCACAACCTTCTCAGCAAGTCCCGGGTAATTACGTGGCTTGGGCCCACTTAAGCCTGTAGCACGACATGGTATTAGAATAGCGGTCCTCTACATGGCGTTACATGTTTATTCAGCATGCTTGTGCTTGAGTTCCATCATGCCACAATAGGCTATGATCGGGCCAGGTAGCATTGGATAGGTTAGTAAGCGTGAATTTATAAAGTCAGTGCGTTTTGGCCCCCTTTGCGTGGCCGGCATGCACGTTTGCTTAGTGTGACACGTGGCTCATGGCTCGCGCAGGTGCGTCCTACAAGTTCCCTTATGTCCAAATTGGGCTCCTTTTGCAATCGAATATTTGTGTTGAGCTAGGAATAAACTTGGGCCCAACCCTTGGATTTTTGGGTCTCAACATGAGGCTAGATAAAATTGAGGGTTCCAGTGCCTATAAAAGGAGGCTCATTCTACCCAGCAAACACACGATCCAAGAGCGCGACCAAGCTTTGTCAAGCGGCTGGAAATTTACTCAAGACACTCCATTCTCTATTTCCATCTCTCCCTCTCTTCCTTAGTCAAAATCCCCCCAAATTTATCTCTTCCCTTGTTCTAAATATTCGTTTCCATAAGAAATTCAAGCTCTTTCTCTTTACTGTTAAATTCGTGAAAGCTTAGCTCCCATGTCACAAGCTTCTCATGCCAAGCCATAATATTGATCTGTAACAATTGTCTATCTTGTTGGTGAGAGGAACCAAAGTGTTTCCTAAGGCTCCATGAGCTTTTCGAAGCACTCTTGGGGCCTAGTTCTTGAACTCAAGCAGAGGGGCAAGCATAAGCATTCGTCAAGCTGCCGAAAGCCCAATCAAACAAGTACCAGCAGCTGGAACACCTGTTCCACTATTTTTCAAGCAAACCTTCTAGCGTCTGCTCCACCTCTATCATCAAGCAATAGCTTCACAGTAGCTGATGTATCCTTCTCATAAAAACTTTCAATGTACTGAAGAGCCATTGAAGAAGACCAAAGCACTCCCTAAGGTCTCAACTCTTTCGGGGTGTTTTGGGGCTTGGTGCCGTAAACTCAGAGAGGGGCGCTAGAAAGCTCAATCTACTTCGCAGTAGTCCAACAAGCCCATTGTAGCTCTCAACAAAAAGACCCCAACAGTGTGAAAAGTGGATAATATTATTAGGAGAAGAATTTGTATGAAGATTTGGTGTGGAAAGTGAATAATATTGGTAGGTATTTATACATAAATAAAAAAATTTAGAATTTTTTGGTATTTTTTTCCAATTTTATTCAAAAATTTTCAATTTTTATGGCCATCGGACATCCTAGGTAGTGCCATGTGGCTTCTAGCCATTGGAGGAAAGCAAGTGCTAATGCTAGCCTGGCTTCAATGAAACAAATTCAATTTTTTTTACCGTTGGCATGCGTGACCTGCGCAATCCTTGCATGTACGTCACACGCCAATAGTAAAACGCCAGCATGGCGTCAGTGCTGATGTCATAGCCTGCGAACATGAGCTCAGGCTCATCTTGCCTTGGGGCTTGCCCGGGTTAGTGGAGCCCATCTCTTGCCCTGACAAGAATTGGGCCCTGAAACCTGATTTTGAGGCCCATGAGGCCTTTTGCCTGGGCATTGAAACCCTAAATCTACACTTTCTCATTCTTTTCTCTCCCTCATCCACCAACATCATTTTTTTTTTGTCAACACCAACATCATATTTCAGTCTCCACTTCTCAATCGCCACCATCATGGCATCATACGCTCATTGGCTCAACGAGTGCCGACCTAGACATCTCCAACCTCTTTAATTGCTTTTAAGTGCTTGATTTGGTGAGTTATATTAGCAAAATCAGCTCCAACATAAAATGACGAACCAAGAGCATTTCCAATAAACATGTCAAAGCCAATGAGGTTTAGCCTAACACAAAAGAACCTTAACTTGTAGACTAGTGGTCTCAAGTTCGAATCTCCATGGCACCTTGACAGTGTGTGTAAGAAAACCCCCATTCCCCAATATTGCTTGTAAATTTTAAATTGATGACCTACTAGACCTGTAAATGGATTGGATTCAGATTAGATATACCTCAATTCAAATCTGAATCCATATATAATCGGATTATTGCATTTGGATCGTATGCAGATTATCGGATTGCATCTATTAATCCATATCCGTTACGCATCGAATTCGGATCAAATTAGATTATTATTGAATTTATTTTTAGATGTACAAAAACAATTAAAATTTCATTAGTAGCCTCGTTCTTTTATTGTATTTATCTACTTTTTAAAGCATAGAAAATTTAAATTATATTTCATAGCAAGTCTAGTCCACTATAATCCATTTCCGAATCCATTTTATAATCGGATTGCCGGATTTGGATTGTAATTGGATTATCGAATTGAGAAGTCTATTCCATCTACTATTAATTACATCGGATTCTGATCAAAATCTGATCCAGTGACATGTCTACCTACATGGAAAACAAAGGAATGTGCTTGGAGTGGGGAGTAACTGCTTCCATATAATTGCTTAAGTGAAATTTGTTTGCTTTTTTTAATTTGTATAATTTAGAAAATTAAATTTTTACTAGTTTGTCCTCATTTATTAAATTGTGGTGTTCTAGCATTTTTGCTAAGCAAGGGTGTTTTAAGGGTTTTTGAATGTTTCACTTTTAAGCCATATTGTAGCAAATTTTCAATGTTGGGGTACTTCATTGTTAAAATTGAGAGGACGTGAGCATATATTTCTTACAAATGAAACCACATGGTAACATCCCTCAAATTAATTTATTTGAGGGACACTCTTTAGTGTACCCTACTAAATTTGTTTTCAATGATCAAAACCGTCTATTTTTTAAGTCTTCATTCATATATCATCCTTGCAAAAAATCAAACAAATTAAAAATCATTAAGATATCTAATTGTGACCAACAAAATCAATGAACACAGTGCTTCAAGAAAGTACTTAAATTTCAATCATTTAATTGTGTGGTCAAATGATATCGAATTCAAGTGTTTTTTTTTTTTTTTGGTAGAGATGATCTTTGAATGAATATCTACAAAATTGACATTTGGATTAGTGAAATACAAGGCAGAGTAGGTCCTATGAGGGTGTCCCTCAACGGATGCTCTCTCTATATATATAGTCCCCTTATATTGAGGGATCCCTCAAATAAATTATTTGAGGGACACCCTTTAGGGTCCCCTGCAAATTTGTTTTCAACAATCCAACCATCTATTTTTTAAGTCTACATTCATAGATCATCTTTGCAAAACATTAGACAAATCAGAAACCGTTTCAATATCCAATTGTGTCATACAAAATCATTGAACACGATGCCTCAAGAAAGTACTAAAATTTCAATCATTCAATTGAGTGGTCAAATATATCGGATTCAAGTAATTTTTTTGTAGAGATGATCTTTGAATGAGTATCTACAAAATAGAAGGTTTGGATTAGTGAAATACAATACGGAGTGAGCCCTACAAGAGTGTCCCTCAAATAAGTTATTTGAGGGATCCCTCAACTGAAGCTCCCTGTATAGATATAAGTGAAAAGAAAATACTTCACTCCTTATTATGTAAGAATGAGCTCCTACGTTCCTGTCAATATCAATGTGACATGTGTGAAAAAAAATTTCTTTTTGTGTTTATGATAAATTATTTTTGCATGTGTGTCAAACTGTGATTTGCAGGAAGGAGAAATATCTCCTTACACGGAAGGAGACAAGCAGTCCTAGATAAAATATGAGGTTCACGAATAAAATAAGAGTGCCGCTAAACGAACCCTAAAATTAACTGAGTACACCCTACTATCATAGTATTTATTAAATTACTAATTTGCCTTAATATAAAATGACCAAAAAAGAGATTATTTTTTTTGTGGGACTGCTTTAGAAGATTTACATCACGTCTTCATTTCATGTGATTTTATTTCTGCTTTTTGGGAGACTAGTCCATGGTGGAGGCTTTTACAAAACCGTGCCGGCCTGAATTTTAAATGTTGGCTTGTGCAACTGTTTGGTGACGCATATAAAGAGTTTGTAGAACAAGTTTTGATGGTGTTGTGTACAATCTGGAATGAGAGGAATTTTGTTTTATGGACAGGCAGACGACGTGGGATGTTGGAAGTGGTTAATTGTGCTATGCAGGTGTTGCACCAATTCCAGGAGCACAACTTTCCTTAGGGTGTTGTCCTAGCTCCTGCAATAGTAAAATGGGGTAGACCCCCCGTGGGTTTTTAAAAACTCAATTTTGATGGGGCATTTTGCGAACAAACTGGGTTTGCTGCTTTCAAGAGGGTTTTGCTGCTTCTTGGTTTATGATTTAAGTTTTATTGGTCAGATATGCAAACTTAAAATTTGAAAAGAAGGCATAAATTTATGTAAAAAGATAAATCTAGTTTAGAATGTTATTTGATAGTGTATTAGGGTGCACCAGAGATATTTTTGGTAGTTAAATAGGGTGTACTTAGTTAATTTTAAATTTTAATTAAAATATTAGAGTGCTATTAGATGGGTGTACTCAATTAATTTTAGAATTCGTTTAGCAGCACTCTAAAATAATCGAAACAAACAAATTTAAGCTTGAAGTGAAGTACATCGAAATTGACAGCAAACAACATTACGCCAAATCCATGTCAGCTGTGACATTTGGGTTGGAATGTAAAAAGTAAAATGGATTTCTTCTCCCGAATAAGCCCTTACTGTTTAGTGGCCATAAGAGACTACTAAGGAACGTCGCGTAACATCAGATCACTGCCACTCCATAAGAAGAAGAAAGTTCCCTCTTCCTCTGTGACACCCAAAAGTGTTCTCCCCAAAACCAAACTGAAATCCCTCAAACCCCCAAAATTCCCTCCCCTCCCATCGCTCTCAACTCTCAAAACAGTAAACTGAACTCAACCAAAACTGCAAAGTTCTTTACTTTCTTTTCTCTCACATTGCCTCCAAAAATGGAAAACCCTAAACCAGGAAGTTGAACTTCAACTGCGTCGTTTTGGTCTTCCGAAGCTCGCCTGCAACTGCAAATTTCCATACCCTGTTGCTTAGTTAAGCTCTCTCTCTCTCTCTCTCTCTCTCACTACGGTCAGTTCTCTCTCTCTTAATTTCTGCCAGTGCCACTACCCCAGTAGAGTAGTGGTAGTAAACTGGGTTTTAATTTTGGTGTATAGTGCAGTGCAGCCATAAACCCCACCTTAATGCTTAATCCTTCTGGCCGTGCCAATATAAATTGAAAATATCCAAATCAATGGAGAAGTTAGAGACTATATATATAATCATGAATTTCATATAAATTATAATCAGTCATGGACTTTGAGCCTCTGAATATTGAGAACGAAGCGGTGGAGTTTGACATGGGTGGTTCGGGCGAAGATGACGCCACTGCCCTTGACTTAGAACACCCAGATGATAGCTATGATATTTTCGATGATGATTTAGTCCAATCCTCTAATTCTACTAGGTCTCGTGATGATTTTGCTAGTGGAGACCCCAATCTTGAACCCTATGAGGGCATGGAATTCGATTCCGAACAGGCCTCACGCATTTTCTATAATTCTTATGCACGGCGGATTGGTTTCAGCACCCGGGTCAGCGTGTACCAGCGGTCTCGTCGAGATGGCTCCATCATATGCCGCCAAGTAGTGTGTTCCCGTGAAGGGTTTCGCCGTGACGGAGGTGAAAATAGGTCCAAGCGGCAGCGTACAGTCACTAGAGTTGGTTGTAAAGCACAGATGACTGTGAAGAAACAGAGTTCAGGAAGATGGGCTGTTTCGAAACTAGTTAAGGAACATAATCATGAGCTTGTGCCTCCAGATAAGGTGCATTGTCTTCGTTCACATAGGCATGTCTCTGGTCCTGCTCGAAGCCTGATTGATACCCTTCAAGCGGCTGGTATGGGTCCTAGTGGTGTGATGTCTGTGCTGATCAAAGAATCAGGTGGAATTAATAATGTTGGTTTCACAAAAGTCGATTGCCAGAATTATATGAGTAGCAGCAGGCAGAGAACTCTGGGGAGTGGGGGTCAGTTTGTTTTTGACTATTTGAAGCGAATGCAGTCTGAAGATCCTGGCTTCTATTTTGCCGTCCAGGGTGATTTTGAGAACTTAACAGGAAACATTTTCTGGGCTGATTCAAATTCAAGAATGAATTATGACTACTTTGGAGACACTGTTACATTTGACACAACATATAGGACAAACCGATACCGGGTCCCATTTGCCCCATTTACTGGGTGGAATCATCACGGGCAACCTGTTTTATTTGGATGTGCATTACTCCTTAATGAGTCGGAGTCCTCATTTGTTTGGCTATTTCAGACTTGGCTAGCTGCAATGTCTACCCGCCATCCTGTCTCAATCACAACAGACCAGGATAGAATCATTCGGGCAGCTGTCGGGCAAGTATTCCCTGGAACTCGCCACCGATTTTGTAAATGGAATGTGTTGAGGGAAGCTCAGGAGAAATTGTCCGACATATATCACTCACACCCCACATTTGAAGCCGAGTTTCAGAGGTGCATCAATATGACAGAGACAATTGATGAATTTGAGTCATGTTGGGAGTCCCTTCTTCAAAGGTATGATATTGGGGATAATGAGTGGCTTCAGTCCATGTATGATGCTCGCCAGCAATGGGTGCCAGTTTTCCTTCGGGATACATTTTTTGGGGAGATGTCTGTAACCCAAGGAAGTGATAATATAAACTCATATTTTGATGGCTATATAAATGCATCAACTAATATTCAGGTGCTAATAAAGCAGTACGAAAAAGCTATTGCCACTCGCCATGAAAAGGAAGTAAAGGCAGATTATGATACAATGAACATCTCTCCAATTCTAAGGACTCCATCTCCAATGGAAAAACAAGCTGCAAAACTTTATACAAGGATAGTGTTCATGAAATTCCAAGAGGAATTAGTCGAGACACTAGCTTATCCTGCAACTATGGTTGATGATACAGGATCAGAAACTGTGTATCGGGTAGCAAAATTTGGGGAAGATCACAAAGTTTACTTTGTTAGGTTCAATGTTTTTGAGAAGAAATCTAGTTGTAGCTGCCAAATGTTTGAGTTTTCAGGTATTATATGCAGGCACATATTAGCTGTTTTCAGAGTAACTAATGTTCTTACACTTCCAAATCACTATATATTGAAACGTTGGACCAAAAGTGCCAAAAGTGGAGTTGTATGGGATGAGCACACTCTTGGGTTGCCAAATGATTCCCAAGACTCCTCTGCTGCTCGGTATGACAATCTACGCAGGGAAGCTATCAAATATGTAGAAGAAGGAGCAGAATCCGTGCGTGTTTATACTGTGGCAATGGACGCTCTTCATGAGGCTGCTAGCGAGGTTACTGCTGCAAAGAAGCATGGTCTTGGGGTTGTACAGAGTACTTCAATTAATTGCAGCCAGCAGCTTCAGTCTTGTACTGTGGTGAGCTTTGTTTGGCCTCTGAAATTGTAACATTTTGTTGTATGTTTCCAATACATAATTGTGTACTTCTGCCACAAAATCTGAAAAGACGTTCTAGAGATCAGATAGGGTTTTAATTCATATCAAATTAAAATGAGCTAGGAAATCAGATTTTCAGTTTCTAAAGCATAGATTCTGCTATTTGGTTTTCTTGTATAGATTTTGGCTTTGGTTTTTGTTTTAGATTTTAGAAAAGTATACTCAATCCATGGATTAGTAATACTAAATGATATTTTGAGAGGAATTTGGGGAAAGAAGGCTGAAAGGACTTGAAAATTGTCCCAACTCCAGAATTCTTGTTCAGAGTTTCCTCCTCTTGTTCTTTCATGCCTTTGATTCTGTTAGTTGCTTTCTTCTAGCTTCACGCCTAGATGTCTGTTATAACTAATTACTGTTCCTTCATTTCATTTTTGTAGGATCAGGATAAGAAAATTAAGGAATTGGCAGCTGAGTTGGACATTGCAAGTCAGCAGTGTGAAGCATATCGAGCCAAGCTACTTGCCATTTTGAAGGATATGGAAGAACAGAAGTTAAAGATATCAGTGAACGTTCGGAATGTAAGGCTAAATCTAAGAAGTTAGAACCTGCCCACCCTTTTCATGTATACCACCAAAACAAGTGGAAGAGGGAGTTGGCTGGGTTGGCTTTCTTTCATCGTCACACGCATGCTTAGTTACCGGGTAGTGGTTAGAAAAGGGATTTTTGGATTTTTTCTTTCATCCCCATAGTGTAGGCCGGTTGTAATGTAAATTATTCAGAGTTGTAGTTAGATGTAACTGTAGTATAATAGTGTTCATGTAGTGGATGGAGAAATCAAATAACTTTTGATGTTTCCCCCTTGTATATAAAGGTTTTGTATGAATAACTTTGATGTTCTGTTCTCTCTCTCTTTTTTCTTAATGGAGCTTTTAGCAATTAGTTTTTCTTCCTTTTGCCAACATTGAGGAGAAATTATAGAATACTACGGTAGTATGACCATGTGATACATCTTGTTCACGTGTTATAATATGGGTAGATGATATGGCCGTACTAGATGTATCACGTGTTTGTACTACCGCAGTATCCTATAATCTCTCAACATTGAGGGAGTTCAATCCAACAGTCCAATAATAATTATGCACTAGATTGGGCTATTAAGGACCTCCTCATTATAATCCGTAATTATAGCCTCCCTGCAACATTGAATAGGACATTTTAGAATGTAAAACTGAAAACCTGAAATCAAGCATGCAGTGCAGAGAAGAATTGGAGATATTCTTTTGTTTCTATTATAGGCTGTCAAATTGGGCCTTATGGGGATGGTAAGCCCAAATATTTCATTTTGGTTTTTCTTTGGACTCTTTAGGCCTAAATGATTTAGCTGAACAAGAATTGGTCCAAATATAGAAACGAGGCGCGGGGTTTTATGGAAAAGGCAAAAAATAAAAGGGGGCAAACGGTGGCTTGGAGAATTTGAATTTCAAAAAGAGTTGCCGTTGCGGCAAAGATAAAAAATTCCCCTAACTACCCTTAACGGTTATATAAATCGGACGCTCACGCTCTTAAGCACGTTGTCACTTGAAAACTGAAATCAGAAAGAGAGAGAGGAGAGAGAGAGAGAGAGAGAGAGAGAAATTGAGAGAAATGGAGTCGAAGGCAGCGAATACAACAACAGTGTCGGCGATGGATGCGTTCGAGAAGCTTGAGAAGGTGGGAGAAGGAACGTACGGGAAGGTTTACAGAGCGAGGGAGAAGGCGACTGGGAAGATCGTGGCCCTCAAGAAGACTCGTCTCCATGAGGACGAGGAAGGCGTCCCTCCCACCACTCTCCGTGAGGTCTCCATTTTGCGCATGCTCTCCAGAGACCCCCACATCGTCAGGTTGCTTACTTGCCCTTTCTTTTCTTCCTTTAATTCTACAACTAGGGTTTGATTTCTTTTTTAGGAATTTCAATTAATCTGATGGAGATGAGTTTTTCAATCTTTGGTGTTCTTCTTGTCTATAATTTATTGCGTTTGTTAATCAACTGTCTATCAATTAACGAAACCCTAAAACCCACTATGCCAATGGCATAGGTTGATGGATGTGAAACAAGGGCAGAACAAGGAAGGCAAGACTGTGCTTTACTTGGTGTTTGAGTACATGGACACCGATCTTAAGAAGTACATCCGCACCTTCCGTCAATCTGGAGAATACATACCTTCTCCCATTGTTAAGGTTGGTTTCGAATTCTGCTTCCCCAAATTATTTGTTCCTTATCAACTTAATCACAAATGTAAATAGAATTGTGATTTCTGATGATGCAGAGCCTGATGTACCAACTTTGTAAAGGTGTTGCCTTTTGCCATGGTCATGGAATCTTACACAGGTAACCCATTTCTTTCTCTTTTTATTTGTTAAGTTCTTATTGAATTTCCTTTTTAATTGGGTCATTTTATTTTACTGCATATTATGCAGGGATCTTAAGCCTCACAATCTCCTTATGGACCGCAAGACAATGATGCTTAAAATTGCTGATCTTGGACTAGCTCGAGCCTTTACTGTACCACTCAGGAAGTATACTCATGAGGTACTGGATGCTTTCTCATTTTCTGTGTGAGCAGTATTTTGTTCCAAGTTATCTTGATGCTTTGACAGTAGCCAATGAATTTGTGCAATTTCTGTTGCAGATATTGACCCTGTGGTATAGGGCTCCTGAAGTCCTTCTGGGAGCTACACATTACTCAACTGCAGTGGATATCTGGTCTGTTGGCTGTATATTTGGTACTGATCCGTTTCCTACAGTGTGTTTGAACTTCAATATAATTGAATTTTACAATTGTGTCATTGGTTTAACATTATATTCTATCTGATTTATAGCTGAACTTGTCACAAAGCAAGCACTCTTCCCTGGGGATTCTGAACTGCAGCAGCTCCTACATATATTCAGGTTCACCAATATGGCTTCCAGTTCTTTCTTATAAAAAAAGATGTTCCATCTACTTTCTTCCTTGTCATTTGGACTAATTGGTCTTTATGAATTTTTCCTGTAGGTTGTTAGGTACTCCAAATGAAGAAGTGTGGCCAGGTGTAAGCAAACTCATGAACTGGCATGAATACCCCCAGTGGAGCCCTCAAAGTTTGTCCAAGGCTGTTCCCAATTTGGATGTGATGGGGTTGGATTTGTTATTGGTATGTCAGTTTTGCTCTACTCAAAATGGTTGGAACTTTTTTATATGGTACCATGTTATTCTGCATTGTAAGTAATACCTGCTGTAAATGTTTATGCTTGCAGCAAATGTTGCAATATGAGCCTGCAAAACGCATTTCAGCAAAGAAGGCTATGGAACACCCTTACTTTGATGATCTGAACAAGGCTTCTCTTTGATGAAGCAAATGTGGATCGGGATGGCTTCATTTGGATCCTCATGGCTAGATATTCTGAAGTAGTGGATTTTATTTGCTTTCCTCAAGCATATTTGCAGTTGTGTTAAATCTTAGGATCGATCAGCAAATGTGGATTGCTCAACTTTGCATTTAATTCAGAAATCTGATTAGGAGACTGGAAATTGTCTGTGTATTGTTTACAATTTCACAAATTGCCTACGGTCGTAATATTCTATTCGGTTGATGTAAAATTTTGCTTCAATTGGGTGGGTGGGGGGAGATGGATGTTTTGTAGCTGTTTTACACTTGGGCCACAAGCCACATGAAGGCAGCGGACCAAACGTAAGTCCACAGAATGATAACTGAGTTGCCATGTTATGAAGGGCATACCTAATGTCATCGCAGGTGGCAGTGCAATCTGAAGCAGAAGAATAAACAGATTAATTGGATCACTAAACCCTAAACCAAATTTTAGCCCCAACCAAGATGCATGGAAGCTAGCTTATGTTGCATGGACACTCCACTAAGCCCAAGTGTCGGGGTGTCAACTCAAACTCAAGGACAAGTGTGTTCATTCAATTATAATTCATATAAAATTAATAAACTACATTTGAATTTCACTATGTAGTATTGTGAAATTTGAGTATGAACATAAATATCTTGTTTTAAAAATACATATAAGTATTATTATAAATTATTATTTTTTAATCGCCGTGTCCATGTTTCCTAGTTTTTTGAGATTTACCGTTCCCCCATGTCTTCGTGTCGCATATTCGTGTCTGTGCAATGGCCTATAAGAAGGCAGGGGCAATATAACGAACAATTAAGATGCCAACAACTAGAGATTTATGCATCCCTCCTCACCCTCAAACCTAAAAGAACGATGTGAATTTAGTCAAAACTGAAAAATAGGTATGAGAAACCACAGATGCAGTCTAAAATCAATCTTTTAGTTGATGCTGAGTAAACAATAGATACAAACATTTTATGCAAGTATTCTACAATGAACACATTGATCAGTGCAAATTGTATTTCATTTTGTACCATTCTAGCTTATGATTTGGTAATGTTTTTGAGTTAAACTTGTGCTTTTAACCTCTTTTGTGTTTTTCATTCAGTTCATTGAACTTTAGGTATCAATGGTGACTGTAACATCCCGACCCAAATTTAAGTATTCGTTTAATTTAATTAATTTAATAAATTATGAAATTACAATTTTGCCCTCGGGGATAGGGTTTTTTTGGCCATTTTTTAATCTGAAAGGATTTTGGGGAAATCAATGGTATTATGGTATACATTGCGTCGATACGCGTTCGTAGACACGTAGTGAGCTCAAATCGGAGTTGAAACGAAGAAGTTATAATCTACGGAAGCCTAGTGGCATAATCGTAAATATTTCAAAGTGGGTTTTTTTAAAATCTGAATTTCTCCTCTCTCTCTCTCTCTCTCTCTCTCTATCTCTCTCTCTCTCTCCTTGTCACGCCCCAAATTTTCAACAACAAAAATTTGCGAGTTTAAACAGAACAACCAACAATCGGGACGTGAAGTTCGGAACCTTCAACGAAAGTACCTAGAAATTTAAAATTTTCTTTCTTGATACTACACCACCGTTCCGAACCACAATGTCAATAATGACTCAACTCTCCGGAGTCGAATATTACATTACAAACTTGCATAATAAAATGAATAATCATTAAATTACAAAATTTGCTCCTCAGAACTCATTTCACACATCGGAAGTCTAACACTCACTAACACTCTCACACCACACTTTGCACTCTGTGGAACCACCAATGAGCCTCCTGCTCCTCACCTTAATTCTCCTGCTCCTGGTCTCTACCACCTGCAGGATTTTCCCCTACACCATCGAATAGTGCACCGGGTTCATCACAGAACAACCCGGTAAGCTTTCTAAAGCTTGTGTGAGTAAACCACATCCAGAGTATAATACGTCAATTTACACATAATATACAAACACATGCACTTTCATCAGCACACCACAATCCTTGTATAACCAAGGTAATCATAATAATCAATATCATCACAATCACAATTCTTTTATTTTAATTAAAGAACCGTTTCGATCACCACCTGTGACCACACCAAAACTCTTTTATTTCAAAGTAGTTTTAACACGTCATTTATTTGACACATAGAAGAGAGAATACTATGAACCTCTAATCTATAACACTACAAAACTCCAAAGTAGTGTTCACTCATGATTACACTCCAGTCATGAGTACTAGATGGCGCCAGACTAGAGCTCTAACTGTTCTTGGGTCTTGCTCCCTAGGGTAATTTATCCCTCATTATTTGCCACGAGAATGCCCACCTGACAAACTCAGAAGGGATTCAAGGTATTCTCACCTAAATCCATCAACACCAAAACACCAACACCGAAACATATGTTATATGGTTCAACATATGTTATATGGTTCAACACCATACATCCA